TTAATGTCGAGCTAATTATAGACTACTGTATTTTATTTTTTAAATCATTTCTCCGTGCAATTTGTAAATTTTCTAAAGTATTAAAGTAATACTTGGTATTTTATACAAATTTAGTTTATTTTTGTCTTAGACAATATTTTATGGCAATGAACCAAGCTGATTGGACCCTAAAAACGCTCCACGACCGCCGAGTCCTCTTATAGTCCTTTATCGTTGCTGTCGATCTCGAATGGCGAACCATTACAACAGGAGATTTCCGTCTGAACGACCTTGACGTCGGTAGATGAAAATATTATTATTATTATACATATACTTTTTTTATACGGTTTATTTCGACGACGAGAAGGCATTTGGACATAGCGGGCGGCCGCCGTCATAATTATTATACTTATAATAATATATCTGACTATTGAGTAGACCGCATAGACGCACGGAACGGTTATAACCGCGGGCGCACGCACCAGTTAAGAGAGACGGAGAAAGATATAGAGGTAGTGAGGGAGATAGAATGAAAGATGGAGGAAGACAGAGAAAGAGTGAGAGGGTGTTGAGACAGGTATAAGATTTGCGTGTACTCGCGTCGTTTAGAGCTGTTTTCCAGGCTCAGTTGTGGGTGTCGTCTCTCTGCAATATCCTGAAGCGCGACACACACCCCCGTTGGTAATAATTATATATATATATTTGTATAAAATATAAATAATAGTATATAGACATATATCTGTGCGAACGAGGTTCATTCGTGTCACACATGGCCTCCTAGCCGTTTTTTCCACCGTAATATTCAATATAAACATATGGTCGCACATACGAGGATGTAGGCGACGACTGYGGAGACTTAATTTTATTCTTCTTCCACGCACATCTGGTCATCCCGATATCGAAAACTCCGATGTTCAGGTCGAAAATTGCCTTTTTACTTTACGGCAACCGTAGGAAGTCGTCGCATAAAATCCAAACGTTTTCCATGTACGTATTTTATAATATATAATAATATGACTTTGGTATCGACACACCAGTTTACGTTTCTCCTTTGTTAAAGCGTTTCGGAATTCGCGAAAGATTTTATGAATATACATAATATTTACATGCACACCATGGAACATGAAACTGTTTTCAGATTCRTAATAATGACTCTAGGCCCGAAAAAGCGTTAACAGTATAATATGATGGTGATAAAGATTTCAGTAGGTGCATAAAATGTATAATTTATAAAGTTATTATAATAAATATTATAATAATTAATTTTAACTCTAAGTTTAATATTGTATTTTGAACCAACGTTAATCATTGTAAAGCTCAATCATCTTAACTTATATGTCGGGTTAAATCATATGTTTTAGGTTTATCTTTGCTTTTATATTTAATAACCGCTGTTTAGAGCAGGGCCTCACAAGAAGCAGGGGGGTGTGGACATGGAGTACAGCGGACAGGCTAGTTTAGGGGYCCGTCGAAATGAATTTGTAATTTTAAAATGTTGATAGGAATACTTATTATATTATATTAAATGATAWATAGGGTCGACTAAAACATTTAGTGGTAGGTGATCAATAATTATTTACTTTACAATGAATAGGTAATTATAAACTGAAACATAATTTGAAAGAAAAATGTTCACTTGGATGAGTCATTGTATAAAAATAATTACAACCACCTAAATATAAAAAATCGAAAAAAAACTAAGCAATATAGATCTTTGTATTATAATACACAAATATTGTCCCCAATCTACAGGATCTTATAAATATTCATTTTTAATGAAATATATTTTAACATTATTAAAATGAAAAATTTATAACGAGTGTTTTTTCCTAGATAAAATCTCGTGTTATGTGTTCTTGTCTCGTAGTTATGGTCTTATGGATATTCATTTTGAAGTTGATTTTGATTCTGATGCCTATATAATTTATTGTTTTTTAATCATTAGAATTAGATAATAAGAGTTGCTATAGTGATAAATATCTCTTCAATGTCGTGATGAATCCAAAAATATATCGAACAAAGAAATCCGTGATATAACGATTTCGTCCGCTGAATATATGCATTAGGCATGGTTAAAATTTTTAATGTCGATAAAAATACTCGAATGGTAATCGTTAATCATAATTAGTCAGATTTAGCAGCATAAACCTGTTTTGCCAATTTACACACTATCAGGTTTTATTTCCGAATTGAGATAATAAATTAGGACAAACTGTTTAATACATCATGGTCATGCAATAAGTAGGTACTTCTATATGTACTACTATAAATAGACCAAAATCTCGAATAATGATGAAGTAAACGCATAGCTACCATGTAATAAGCGACTTAAATGTACTGGCAAAATAATTATTATACCGATGTTTTCTAAAAATTAAAATGTTCAACATCACTAACAAAGCTACATTTATTAGTGAGTAACTTTATACAGCATTATTTTATTCCTCTCAGAAGATAAAACTATTGAAGTGACGAATATCAGCGAATCTTACACACGTTCCTGTTAGATGTACAATTTATTTAAAAAATACATAAAGACAATTGACGTTAACAAATCAATATGATATAAATAATTAATGAAATAGGTAATACAATTATATTATATTTTCTTTTCGTGGCTGTAATGGCTGGTGTTAACACTGTAATTTCCATTATTGCATTATGTTCTTTGAATATACTCAGGGGCGAGTCCATAGCCTTAGTTTAATGGAGGGAAGGGGTAAGTTATAACTAAAATGGTTAACTATATTTTTACACATATATAATATTATATACCTAAGTATTATCAAATAAAGTTCTAAAATCTTTGAAATTACAATAACTAAGTAGTAACAAATTACAACAATATTGTATGTAAATCATCTTAAAATACACAAAACCTAAATCGTTAATATAAGAATTGAAAKAAAACCCACAATACAGCCTGGGTGGTATTTGTGGGTGGAATGTAATATATATATATACCACTTGTGTAGTAAGCTTTATAGGTATAAACAACATATCATATGTATATATGTATGTACTTATATTTAATTTTATTTATGATTCAAATCCATTATCTAATGCACATTTCAATTTAAAAGAAACCTACACATTTTGCTATAAACATTAAAACAATCGTGTCTTTAGTTGAATTATTGTGTCCTCAACTATTATTAATTTTCACTAGGTACTAGGAAATTATAATTTTTTGAATGTATAGTGTTTACAACAAATCTATAAATAAGTAATATTTTAAATATAATATTTGAAAATATTACGTAACTAGATATTATTAATGTTTGTAATATGTTTTAAAAATGAATGCTAGTTAGGTATGTAAAAATAATAATCCTCGACAAGTTTTTCCAATAATATATATTAAAAAAATCGTGATCTTCAGTGTAATATTTAATGAATATATATAAATTATTTCGTGTCTTGAACAACGGTTACACACCATTTACTCGTACCATAAGAAATTATTTTATTATGACAAACGACAATCGATTGACACTTGACCGAAATGGACTGGAGTGCATTCAAATCGTCAATAATAATAATTGTAACGTTTTCGAAAAAATAAAATAGTTGTATACGTGTCTAATAAAATTAAAATAAACGTTTTATGTTTAATAATCACTTTACAGTCAGTTATCATTTTTTTCGCATTTATTTTGTTTCTCTACAGCCGACTTAACTTGCGGGCAATACTTATGTTTAGGACCGGTTAGGTGTTTTACAGCATACACGCGCGTCTCAATAAATTAAATCACCTTTTCGAATGCGTCCATATGGTCATTACTTGTTCGCCAACAACATAAAAGATTATAATAAGTATAGTAAAAATACTAACCGAATAACAATAATACTAGAGAGAACGACATCGATGCCCGGAGGATGGGATAACGTATTTTGTATAGAAAAAATATATAAACAGAACAGGTTAATAAAAATAAAAAACGAAACGAAATCTGTTGAAAACGTATAAAAAATGGTCAACAATAATATTAAATAGACACATCGGCCACAGGTTATGTTTTTGACGTGTGAATAATTTTGATTATTCGGTTTTTTGCAGATGTGATGTCGACAGCCGTCACGTTTTCGGAAGACGGAGTGACATCGTACTCGCAGCTGTTGTTCGACATTGCCAGAAAACAAGTGGTAGTCGGTGCGAGGTATGTGTATCATTTACTTTATACAATATATAGATATTTAAAGGTACTAGGTAACTACACTGGATATACTGGATACACTTATTTTCTATTATATTATATTGTTCTAGAAACCAATAATATAGTAATATATTATGTATTAGTAATTTAGTATATTAAACTGCACGTTGTGTATAATGTATTTTCTCAAGTGACGTATATATTTGACRGTATAATAACGTTGTTATATAGGTATCGGATAACAACCCAGTGWCGTATAACGTGCTAACGTCGTTGAGTGCCTACTGCCTATGCCTCATACCTAAAACTTTTAAAATAAATATATTTCCCCTTTTCAAACATTTCCCCTTTTCATTGGTTTACTTAAAACAATATCTTTTTTTGTTGTTATTTTTATTTTTATTTTTTTTATCCCACAAATATTCAATTAAAATCGATGGCGATAATAATAGCAACGCAACAGCACGTCTGTTTCCTACAAGTATCCATCTTACTAGTTATTAGAGATGATAATGTTTTGTTGGCTAAGAAATATTATTATTGAATCAATTGCCCACGGCTAAATATCAAAAACGACTCTACAAAAATATTTACTATTTGCTTTTTAAATTTATTGCTTATACAATCATTTACCTACCGTGTTAGATAAAAACACTCCCAAAAACTATCTTATAAATTAATTCAAATTATATGTTATTAATATGTATGTGCGTGTGTTCTATATATTATTTTAATCAATATAACATTATCTCGAATGCAAACACGTTTATATGGGTGTTTATTAATGTGTTTAGTATCAAGAATCTAAATGTCTCTGCATGTCTAATGTCTATATACTTATATTAAATTCATTCGACTTAAATTCAAAATAGTAAAAACGAATTAAACTAAAATATATYCTGAATTACTAAATTATTATTATTTGGATAGTTCTCCGTGTTTAGTTGGGATATTATTTTACATAAGACATTAACAGAACACATTTAGATGGTTATCGCTCACTATAAGATGCATCACAAGTTCAAATAGTACTTTGCTTAAGATAATAAAAATATAGTATTAAAAATACTATGTCGTACAAACGAGATTATAGATCCTAATAATGAAACATGTATTTGACTTTTTATAATACAAATTCTCACTTCTAGCAAAAACTATCAATGTTGTAATTATTGTTGTCTTCTCTTTGTGTTGTAATATTATGAGAAATCATTTCTTAATTCTTAGATAGAGATGTATACTTTTATAAAATAGATTTATATAATAATTTAATGTGCCTAAATTAAATTAACACTGATTGTTATGCTTTTGGTGCTTTAAGTACCAATCGTATTAATAAACCCGTAGTTTATGCGCCAACTTGCCTTTCCTGTTGCTGTGTGACGATTCAATATCGAACAATACGATGACATTGATTTCATCACTCGGGCATAAGCACATATACAGTTATTGATAGTTTTTTTTTAAATTTTATATGTATGGGTTCATTTATTAGCATATAATAATAATAWTATTATTATTATTATTGTAGTGTATGTATTATTATGCAAAATTGTTTAACTATGTCATTGTTTTCTTAATGTACATACACCTTTAAGTAAAATAAAAAGGTATTGCATGTTCCTTCTTGCACCACTAGTATTGTGTCCAATCAGTTGAAAACCCATAATATGGAATGCAGGATTCGTTATAGTCGAATCTCATGTAGACATCCAATATAATATAGTACATATTTATATTTGGATGCACTTCAGTAGAACAAAATATCATGATTTCATTTTCTTTTATGTAAAGATATATATAACATAATATGCATATTATGTTTAGAAGGTATTAGATTGCTTATTTTAATAAGTTATAAATTCTTGGTAATTGATATAGTATACATTAATAATTTGGATATAAACTTTTTTTCTTTTTTTTTTTTTTATTAAAAGAAAATATGTACAATCTGTATAAACAATGGATATAAACTTAAGACAAAAAAAATAATAAAGTATACTTGTGTTATTAAAATATTGGAAATAAACAGTAAAATAATGAATTCGAGTAGACTTTTAGAAGTTTTCAAATTTTCTTGAAGCCAACATATTCAGCCTATTGCATATAGACATTAACTTAAGTACCTACACAATAATCGTAGAGCTGCATCTGAGTACACGGCACGTTCGTTTTAATTCACCTAAGGTTCATACGTTACAAGTATTTTTGGTATCTATTGGGGGCTGCATGTTACTTGCGTCCCAAAAAAAAAAATATATTTTTCAGGTAGTAAATTTGACCGGTAAGTTGTGTCCCGTTTTAGGGGACGCAAGTCAGCCATAATATTATCATCGATATCATTTTCAAAAATCATTAAAATCGATAGTATCGTGTCACTAAAATCGATAGTTCATAAATTGTATTTATATATTTGTATTTATATTATTATTATTGCAATTATTATTATTTTGATGACAAAATGTTTAACATGCATTTTTTTATTATTTTTTATTATATTATACTATATTTATTATGACAAAATGTATAACATGAATTTTTATATTATTATTATTACAATTGAATTGAACTGATAATAATTTATTATAACCATTTTTATTTGTATTAAATTTGTATCATCAATKTACATTTTTATATCGATTATATCGATATTTTCGGGACGCAATTAGGTCATAGAAAAAGGTATACTGGGACGCAAATACGCTATGACCTTTTTGAATCTTTTTTTTGCGGGCGCAACTCACCTACTGATAATAATTTCGGACGCAAGTAGTATGCTCCCCTATTGGGTAGTTACTAGGGTTTCTCGACATTTGAATAACAAAATCATTACAAGTGTACATAGTAGCAGTTGTATACTTGTATTAATATGTATATGTACAAATAGAAACATTATCATACTAATCATTAGATAATGCCACAAATGTTATGGTTATACAAATTATATTTTAACAGACGTTTTTAAATAAAAAAAACTTTAATTAGATACTTTGTTATCTTCGGTAAGTTATAAAATACTACAAAGTTTTAATAATTGACTGCTGTAATTTACGAAAAGTTTTTAAAAATTGTTATAAAATATTTTTATATATATGGCTTTATTGTTGATAGGTTATAAATCTTATAATTTATATTTAATACTATGCTTAAATTGAATAAAACAATGTTTCTAAAAATAGCACATAAATAAATTAAAAAGTAACATTTTATTTCTAGTAAAGAAGAAACTTTAAATTGAMGAATAAGTGAAATATTGGTGTAAAAAATATGTAATARGTACCTATTACACATCATTTTCTCTATGTTAATCATTTATAAAATGTATTTTAAGTAAATACATAAAAAATACTTTTTTTTTTATTAATTAAAGGCTTCAAATACAAAGGTTTATTARCCTACAATGGTTTACATGTTTAATTTATAAATATAATGGAGATTTKATAGTTGTGATGTGCTGTCTTAGGTTCTTGTCTTATATGTTGGTTGTGAGGTCAGCCATCTTGATGAAGTTTACTATGTTTTTTTCTTGTCCTGGTCCGAGTGCGTCTTTGAGTGAGGAGGTGTTTATGTTTGCTTTTGATCTGGCGTTATGGTAAGTGGGGTATTCTAGGAATATATGATTAACGGTGAGTTCGCAGTTGCATGTTTCACACCTGGGTTTGAGCTCTCTACGCATAAGATAGGAGTGGGTGATTCT